GCGCCCTCGGCAGCGCCCTCGGCAGCGCCCTCGGCAGCGCCCTCGGCGCGCTCCAAAGCTTCGGGGTCCGCCACAGAGAGCCAACCGGCCAGCAGCGGCTCACCTCGGACGGGACCGGGCTAGGTGGAAGGAAAAAAAGGGAAGAAGGGGAACCTTTGGAGCACCAAACCAGTTAGCCACTTCTAGTATTCTAGCGACTTCTGCCTTTTGGATGGCTAAGTGACAGCTTGATGATAAAGTATGTGCCATGGAATGGTGTGCAGCCTATTGGTCAACGGTTTGCAGAAGGGTCTCTTAGTGATTCTAATACAAGTGTATATATATATAGATATCGTCTATACTAAGGGATACTAAGGGTATATGTATAATATTTGTTCTTAGTGTTTTGGGAACCCTTGGACACCTGGTTTGTGAGGTGCTCAAAGGGATCAAGGGAAGTGGGATCCTAGTCAGAAGAGCTGCGCTCGACACCAGACCACTGCATTTGTACAGCTCAGTTCATAGAACGCACTGGCAAAGAAGGATAGATTGGCGGAGTGGATCACTCAAAGAGTGAGTTTTTCTTGAAATTTGCCCCAAGAAGAAAGGGAAGAAGAAACAATTATGATCAATTATGGTCGTCTCTCACAGATACAAAGCTTTCTGCAGGCTAGCAACAACATCGGAGATGTCCTCTTCCAGCAATGAATGGGGAAATGGAGGTGCTTGCTGGTCAGAGAATCCCGAAACGAGGAGCCAATTCCTATCAACAAGAACCCTGCAGTGCCTCATGATTTCGACTGGATTTGGACGGTGCTGGAGACGGGACTGCTGAAGTCATTCTGTTGTTCCAACCGCTAAACATATGAGACCAAAAACATCCAAAAACAATGCATTGTAAGATGTTGTAAGGACAGGCCCTCACCCAACCTCCAAATCAATTCCAAATAGTACCTAACTATATAATTGCGATGACACGTCATTGTGACCCCTTCATCCTACTTATTAAACTGCAGGATGTTCCAAGCGACCGAATTCTCGCTCCAGCCGGCGCCGCCGCAAGCTCTGCTCCAAGGCTGTGGGCTTCGCCCGTGGCTTTGCCGCCCGAGTCGCTCGTCCCGTGGCCCTCACGCCGTGAAGAGCACCCAGGGCAAAGGCCGACCACCCATGGCGGCCATAAGGAGAATCGGGCCTAGGAGATGGTGCACACAAATGCATGGCCGATCGTATCCGATCGTACACATGTCGTTTGCAATCACATAAATATATATAATCAAATATAGCAATATAATAGTATAACAGTGCTCGTTTTACAGTCATGCATGGTCAAAGTCTTGGGGGACTCTGGATCTCCTGATTTCTCCTCTGTAATTAAGCTCAAGCCTCTTGACTGATTCGGAGGGCAGTAAGGTGGCTATACTGTTCTGTTGCAAGACTCCCTGTTCCAAGAAATGCCTCGATCTTCTTGGGCCCTGGCAATTTTTGGTTGCAGGCACGCCATGACAACTCCAATCGTGGCGCTGTGCTTGGCACTAGGCATAGCGCCGAAAGACTGGAAAGCATCGGTCGGCCAAAAAATACCGTTTTGGCGTCACCTAGTCGTGTTCATTTTAGCAGGATCCACTGGGGCGAAAAATATCCATGTCTTCGAGCGGCTTTAACCCCTTTTGGGTGCAAAGAGCATGAACAGCAACATGAGAATCAGCCACATGTTGCTATAAAGATAAAACAGCCGCCATTGCCCAACGGAAGGGAATTGTTTAGGGGCTCTCCAATCACACCGCTAGTCATTCATGTTGTTGATTGTGGCACATCAGCCTGCTCTTCATAGACTCACGGTAGGTCGTATTGTCTGGGTCGGGTGTTCCTATGGCCTTGCGGCGCTTGGCTTGAGAAAGGCAATGCAAGACCAGAGCAGGCTTGTGCCCGCGACAGTTGCAATGAATGCAGGTTGGTTCTTCCCAGTTGCAAGTGGACCTGAAGCGAACTCCTTGCTGTGAGCTTCAACCGCACTTGATCACGCAAGATTTCTGTTGCTTGATGATTCAATGGGTAATACCTCTGGTCCAGTAAAAGTCTGACACACGCACAATAACATTTACAACTCTGATCAAATGTGTTGCGATTCAAACTCGCAACAGGCATGCCATATCGGAGCTTTTCGCAGAACATGCACTCAGAACTGCCGCAGTAAGACTATGTAACATATAGAATGCGTGCATATCATCCATACATCTATAATCAATCATGCACACATTCTCGTTTGTGCAGAACAGCTGCCTCTGTCAAGGGCTTCTTCACCCGTGTCAAAAAGTCTCGCTTGGGCGGCGGTGGCTTTCCTGACTTCGGCCTTGGAAAAGGCGAACGCAGTTGCCAAACACCCAAATCAAGGTGTTGATATGGTTTAAAATAAAAGAACATCGCACACGAGCACAAGTCAAGATCCAATCTTGATGTGAAATAGATTCATATCTGGTTGGTTCTGCTGTCGCCAGCTTTCGTTTGTCCCGTGGAGAGTGGAACCGGCCCCAAGTGACTGGGACAAGGCAAAGAAATGAACAATCAAAGAAGAATGCCAAGTCGTTGACACTGGCTAGAAGCTATTAGGTTCGAGGCCATCGCTAGTAGGTTGGAGGCCATTAGTAGCACATAGCTACTAGTAGCTTCTTGCAACTAGTAACACTAGCCCAGCCCTTCTTGGATTCCTCCTACAGCCCATCAAACGTAGCAGAACTGCCTTGTGCAGCTGAGTGACGATGTCGCACCTCCACCGTCAGTGCCAGCGCTGCTAGGAGGACTACCTCAAGTGGGACGGGCTGTGATTGCTAGTTTGTTGTTAGAAATATGTATGTGTCTCGGGTCAACACCCGGAGCCCCAAACCAGGGTAGGTTCACCTCCCAGGTAGTCTGTTCCATTCATTCTTGGTCAACCAGGGTGTCCCGGTGCCATGACCCACAGCCATGTCTCGAACACAGCTAAGAGCGGCGCATTGGACACCACTATTCCAGCGCAACCATAGCTCTTGGAATAGACATCAAACGAACTGTGCATCGAATGTGCTCTGCTCACTCTGACAATCCAAGATCCGAACTCTTCCTCCGCCTATCCAGGCGATCGATTGGAGCCAAATATAAACCCAAACTTAATGGTTCCATGCTTCACAATGTCGATTTGGGCCCTTCCGGGCCAGGCGTAACATTGCAGGTAGAAAACCAATCATTCTAACTCGAACATGCGGCTTAAAACAAGAAGTGGCTCATGCTGTCCTGCACTGCTATTCATGTGGACAGCAATCAATCTCCGCTGGTTAATAGTTCTGCCCATCCGCCTGCGCCAAATGACAAAGCCAACGAGAGCCACTATGGCCGCCACCAAGCCAGCAAAGATTTTCTTCCCTGCCTATGGAGGGGTCTCTCAGATGGAAAGACCACACAAAAACATGCGGTTGAATTTGGTTGATGTCTATTTAGCCAAGTTAGATAACGACTGTTGATGGGTGGGTAGCTTCCAAATTTAGGAGGACTCTTAATTAATATTGGGAACCCTGCAAGGCATATGCTTATTCCAGTCCCGCACAAACTCAGTCCGTCATGCAAAGGCTTTGGGGTAAGTCGATCATAGGAAATCCATTGCATAACCCCATAAATCAACGATTTGAAACGTCTCAAAGTCAGCTTCCTTAGACTAGTTATTTGTTTTGGTCAGGTCTGGAGGTCGCTTGCGCGCGTCGCTTGCGGTCGCTTGCGGTTGCTGAGCTAGCTATGGTCAGGGGGGCTTGTCAATGGATTCAATTTCAAGACTGCACACCTGCCACTTCCCACCCCTGTTTGGTAGGAGATTGCTTTACCTACATAAGGTCCCTTTCCATGTCTGAATGAATTCACCAAAGGTCAATTATGCGAATCCACCTGGAGTTGCCAAGAATGGCGGATCATTCTATGTTGTTGGAGGTTCTTTCGTGCGAACAAAACCAGGGGATTCTTGAAAAAACCTTCTGCATTGTCCATTTCTCGAATCTTTCTTTGATAGAAGCCCTTTGTTTCTTCCAGTGAAAGTGGCCCTTGCCTATGTGAATATCCAGATGTGACCATCTGCCGGTTCAAACTCTCAACATTGTCCAGCCTTTTCCTTTTCCTCTGCGGTCATTCCCTTACCTTCCTCACGGAGTGCGGGACGTGTGGGACACGGAAGTGGACTTGAACTGAGGCCAGATATGCTTCATCACCCGTACGGTCCAATTCATCCCAAAAGTCAATGTGAGGTTCAGAGAATGGAGAGGGTAACAACCCTTTGAAGAAACGTTTCACCTTACTGTGAATCTAGGATGTTTGTGTGAGTGTGTGTGTCATTCTCTGGAGTCTCTGGAGTATAGCTCCTTCCGGTTTGATGCACTACAGAAAAAACATTCAAGTTACCCCCGAGCTGGACAGGTTGTTGACAAGCATTGCCAGCCCCAAACCCAGCATGTACAGTAAAGCTCTAAACATGTGCTTGAAGTCATAAACATTCAAACTATTTCAAACTCTATGGAAGTGCTCCGAAAATGACACCAAACGTTTCCTGCTCGGTCGCCCCCCTTCCCCTTCCCTTCCCCGTCTGTCGCTCCTTGGTTGAGGTGCCATTGCCTGCAGGGCCTGTTTGGACATCTAGGACTTGTCTGACTTGTCTGTCTTTTTTTGACAAATCCTACTGATGCCTTGTGAACTGGGAGAGTTTGGACAAAGGCACTGGACTGACTTACGGGTTGATCCCCTCCCAGCATTACGAAGGTGCGAGCAACCATGGGCTCTCGAGACACGTGAGCACAAGAATGCAAAAGCATCACACGCTTCCGACATATGGGACCATAAACATTGCAGGAAGCAGAAGTCAGGTAAAGTGCAAAAGTTCCGCGCTTGCGAAAAAACATTGTCACCCCTCTGGCAACATACAACAATGACTGACAACTCTATGAAGCAAAATAACAACTTAAGAACGAGGTAAAGCATGATAAAGCAACATATGTCTTTATTTAAAGAACATCCAACCAGGCATGTCTATATATATAGATAACGATTGATAACGATAGCACCATTGATTGTCAACAAAAAACAACACCTCCCAGCTACGGTATTTATTAATCAAAAGGTCCATTGGATGTGCCCACTGAAAGAGCCCATCAGCTGGAAGCCTTCTTGAGAAACCTCCCCTTCCTTCTCTTTCGCTTTCTTAAGGATCTTTTTCTCCTTCTCCTCCTTTTCCTGTCAAACAGGTCTCGAAAACATAATTCTGTCGTTGACCTCACTACGGCTACTGCACCTCTGTTTGTGCTACGTAGGCAAGAAAGCAAAGTTTGCACATCTAAATTCCTTTGTGCATAATTCTGAAGATCAGGCCAAACAACCACCCAGTGGTGTGGTTAATGGCTAAGCGGCTAAGAGGCCTACGCAGCTACGCATGCCTACGAATATCTTGGAACAGTTTCTCAGAATGTCGAGTACACCGAGGCACCTTGGCTTTCTGCTTTGCCAGGGCAAGTTCAGCATCACGCTTGGCATTTACCTACGGAACTGAATCGGTTTTAAAGAATCATTTGCGAACAAACGGACCCTTGTGGGAACTTGAGTACTGAGTACAAACATGTACAAACATTTCGCTCATTTTACATTTCCAAGTAACAACTCCAGTCTTACCTACGCCATGAGTTTATGGTCTCATGTGACTCATGAGTCGTGAAACCTGTGGCCAAGCCTACCTTTCCTGTTAAACACCATCCAAGGCCAACTGCGGCAGCGTTGAGGTCAATAATATTGTTGAGTATGAGAATCATTGGCAAATGCAAACTTAACTCACTCCTTACTGTGCATGTACCAATCTAGGATTGCCACCTTTCTTTATCCCGTGCGTGTATTTGATCTGAATTGACTTTACAGGAGCATATGTTGTATAATCCAAGTGAAACAAACCACTCAGGGGCCAAAGCCAAGGACAGGCCAACAGCCAGCTCTTATCGGAAACAAAATGACTACAGCACAACATGTGCAAGCAGTGCCAGACTTCTTACAGTGCTGGCCACAAGTATTGGAGGCATTTGCAGTCCATCGCATCATCCAACAACATCGTCTCGCGATCCTCCTCTTTGATCTTTGGGCTCATTTGCACCACCTGCGATGGGAAAAGTGTTGGCCAAAATCATGTGCTACCTGTGAATCGGGTTCAGCTGAAATACAGAAGCCCAAAATGGCATATGTTTCATGTCCGCGGTGTCTGTCGTCTTCCAGTACCAACAAGGCTCTCTTGGGAGCCTCTGGAAGCTCCTTCCCCTCGGGGCACAACCTCAGGGTGCAGGACGATCCCTAATGACCATCTCTTTAAACGTGAGATAGCTTTGCTCCGAGTAGCTTCGTGCTCCTAGTAGTAAGGCCAGGAGCCCCTAGTAGCGTTCTTGCTCCTAGTAGCGATGCCCTTTACTCCTAGTAGCTTCTTGGGACAAAACCATTGGGTACCCAGACTGACTGGTATTCGCAAGGACTTCTGCGAACTCCACACCCTTCTACGAACTTCTGCGAAGGCAAACAGGGTTAGCACGAACCTTCGGGCAATAGCAAAGAAGTCTTTCGATGTCTTTCGCGAACCCCCCAAACATCTACAGTCCCCACATGGGTTCTGCGAGCCCCAAATTACCATCAACGAAGCTCTGCGAAGGGCAATCCACCTACTTCTGCTGATTGCATACCCCGTTCGTTTTGCATTGATGAGAACTCCCGTGGAACTTTCCACTCGGTCGGTGAGTTGAGTTCTAAATACCAACACCATTATGAATCAAACCTGTATCAAGACTCTATGTCCAGAGAGTCCAAAACAATGAGCTATATAATATGTTCAAACTTCAAACAAGCAACGAGCTTTCATAGGCCATTTTGGCCGCCTTCTGGAATTCAGCGCAGGTAGAATGGCTCATGATACACCCCTCAGGATGAATGGCGCCGAGAAAGCAAGCGAGTTTCCACAATGTTTTGGAGCATGTGCATGCTTTCTTTTCGCAGGACTCCAGACTTACATCCTGGTCTTGTTCACCTCATATTCCCTCTCTATGGCTGATCCGGCTTTCAGCAGTTTAAAGAAAGAATTCAAGAACACATACACACGAGAAGACATGATTACCAAGCAAGTGCTTGAAGAATCTTGAGGACATGTTTGACCATTGGCTGCATGTAAGGCTGTCTCTGAGCTCGGCACAATGCCCTTCTCCCCACCTGAACAAAAAAAGTGCACAGCTTGACTAGGAACACGCCTGGAGTGGTGTCTTCAGTGCATCCAATGCACCCCATGGATTTGGTCTAGGTCCAAGACATCTCAACAAAGACTCCAAACCGTCCACCAACCCAAAATTATTTGATGTTTCCCACTATCTGTGGTAAGCAAGTGATGGCTTTCAATGCGGCACCAGCGGGAAAAGAATCAGAATGACAAATGACCATAGTTTGGATTGCTCAGCATCGGGGCCGGGGCCGGCAGAACTGTGGTTGCTTGTAGTGCTGCATGTTTGATCCTCTTGCGCAGTCTAACCACGGGTTTAGTGAAACTTGAAGTCCTTCTTCAACGCAAGACAAACAGAAAGAGATATGACGGAGCATAAAGCGGCACCAAGGCATCTATCCAGAAAGAAGGTGACCTCTAGTGGCTCTAGTCTCAGGTGCTTCATATTCAGAAAGAGACATAAACATCAAAGGACATCATAGTTAGGTGTTTGGGGTATAAAATGTGGAAGCTATAGTACTCTCCCAGGAGGTTGACCTTAAACACAAGTGCAAACAAAACAACCACAGAAAGCACCCTAGGGCAGCTCAAGAAAGTCTTGCCGCTTTCAATGCTCCGGGTCAGTGTTCCGAATGTGCTGCCAGAACACACAGAAAGTCTGTCTTCTTCGTCAGCTCCTGCACCAAGAGACTGAGTTCCCGATGATGAGGCATCCGCAGACTTTATCTTTGGACCATGCCCCATGTGTTAGCCATTGTTAGTCTTAGCAGTTTGTAGGCATTTTCTGCATATATATATATATATATATATATCCGCCGACCCCAGCCTAGCCGCAGCCTAGGCGGGAGGCGCCTGGGACACCGCAGGGTGCAACTTTGGCATTGGCATCTCCACCTTTGTGGGCTTTAGCACAGGCCACAGCTAGCCTGTCTGAAGCCATGCAGCCTACAAACCCTCCATTGGGGAGGGAGCCTCTGGAACGTGCAGCCCGTGCACTGCAGCCTTAGAGCTGAGCGTCTGGAAGCTGCCACCTCGGTCTGCACCTCTTTTCTTTAGGGCTCCGAAGGTGACGTCCAGG